TTTTACTTTCAATTGATGTCATATATAGTATTATACCATCAACCAAAACTAGTTTATCATTAAAGACTAACAAATTTTAGTTTAAAATAATTTTTTAATAAAATTTTCTTTTTTATCAGTTTTTTTTAATATTACATTACATGATATGAAATAACTCTCACAATGTATAATCTTACCCCACTCACATATCATATAACTGAAACTCAAGATCTTTGATTTTTACAAAAATGAAATTACTACTTAATTATTTATTTCATTACTATTTTTATTTTCATTAGCTTTTTAATTAATAAAAGCGCTCTTTCTTTTTTTTTTTTTATGAAAATTTCGTTTGGCCCCTTTTAAAAAAATTTCCTGGCTCCGCCGCCACTGTCAAACCCAAGGGTCCGAGGTGTGGGTTTGCGCTCTGCGGCCTGTCATCACTGGATGGATCCCATTGGGCCTAACCCAAAATTTTTATAAAGTGTCTTTGCTTCCTCTACTCCAGCAGAAGATCATACCGTGGCAAAACCTGATCAGCGTTTCTTCGCTTGTACCAGCAACACCACACCACACCAGGCCATGGCTATGGCTCTGGACTCCGAAACCGACCTGTCGTTTCCCTACTGGACCTGCGTTCGCCGACGTTTCGGTCCCGACTCTTCTTTCTTTGCCAGCGGAAACCTCGAGAGAGAACTTCTCGCCAAACAGGTTTTTTCTTTTTAATTTCCTTTTTCAATTAATTTTAGATGATGCCGACTTCGAGTTGATGTAATTTCCCCGCGAATAATCTGTTTTTGGATCTTGAATTTTTCTTGGTTTGGATGCAATGAAATGGTTAATGTAATATAATTTTTATCAGTTTGAAATCATGAATTTCAGTAATTAGTGTAGTATGAATATTCTAGAGCCTTTTCTTATATTCCATCCCTTGTCTCATGTAATGTACAGGTTGCCTTAGATTTAACAGCAGATGAAAAGCATCAGCTTCAGAACATGGTATACCAGGATACCAGGTTTTACTTCGCACCTGCTATTGTTAAACTGTTATATCCTTTTTGTTTGTATTTTTTTGGACCCGGTTTGCAAATTGCAATGTTATTATGTAATCACATGTTTCAGTTCAAGAAAAGGGGCTCGCTGCTTGGTTTATTTTTGTCATTCATGTTCATTATCTATCATGTTTCATTTTGTCTATGCCTCATCTACGTGTAGAATCATAATTGTCTCTGTTCGATCTAATTTCATACGTATTTGCTGTCCAAGATGTTGATTTTCGTGCCATGTATATTCAAGGTATATTATAGTTTGGTATACTATATTGACATGTTTCAACATGGACAAGATAAAAAAGAGAAAAAGAAATTGAAGTGAGATATTTTCCACTTTAAAGTTCCATTTGGGTCTTAATTCTAGAAACTGATGCTTGAGCAGGGAGGTATTCTGTCCAATTGCCGGTTGTGGTGCGCGATTGACTTCATTGGAGGACTTTGAAAATCATTATAATGCACGGCATACTGCATCCTGTTCGGTGTGCTCCAGAGTTTATCCAAGATGACGCCTGCTCAGCATACATGTGTCGGAGGTGCATGATTTCTTTTTTCAAGCAAAAGGCAGCGAGGAACCAAGGTAAGCACCAATTTTTTGAATGAATTGCTGTTTTTGGTGGTATCATATGTTGAAAAGGAAATTAGATTGACTTAGAAGAATGCTGTATTTTGATGATTTTGGGATAAATTTTTATTTTTATTTTTGTTTTATTTTATTTAAAAAATAATTGTAGGTTCAAATGTTTACAAAATTCAATTTCTTATGAATTCTATGCCGGTATTACACCATTACATGGCGTATGAATGTTAAATGGAACAAAATTACTACTGGAGAGTGGAGAACCAAGGTAATCTTCAGATGTTTGTGTGCAGATTAACCTACTGCAATAGAAGTATAGAACCGTTCCAATCTATTTTTCCTGTAGTCGTGGAATCAAGAAATGGCAAAGGAGGTTTTATTGTGACTGAATTTGGAGTGAAAACGTGAAAAAGTTTAGGTTTGGTCTTGAGGTCTTCACTAATTGGTTCATTGTTGGTGCAGTTCTTTTTAACATATAGAATTCTGGTTCTTGGAAGGAAAAAGGGTAGGAAAATCACATTCTTACCCAACTTGCCCGATTATTGTTCATTGCATTCATTACTTAATCCTGTATAAGCAATTCAGTAGTTTTTGCACTACTGTGGATAATGTATCACAGTTCTATGATGTGTAAGTAACAACTCATTATACCTTTGTCTCTGGTCTTTTAATCTTTTCTTTGTCCCCTTTTTTCTCCTTTGCAAGTTCCATCCAGGGAAAAATGTGGGGCTTGGGAAGGACTATACCATCTTCTTCTTGATTGATGGTCTCGTGAAATTTGAGAAGTTTGGACTTGACAAGAAGAAGGTCGCTTCTAAATTTCCTACGGACGAGTTAATGCTTCAAAAGTTCAAAGTGTAGATAGATACCATAAACTTACAGATTATATTTGGTATGATTGACAAGTAAGTGTTTACCCAAGAGAGGTACAGCCTGAGAACCCCAACAGCCATAGAGCAGGGAAGAGAGAATACTTCAGGATGTGCAGAGAACGAAGGAAGGTAAAACAGGAAGGCATCGTTGCTCAACCAGAATTAATCCTTGCTTCAGCAGCTGACGCCACAGATGAGAGTCCAATTAGCTAGTTTTGAAAACTGACAATCTACTTTTTCTTCCTTTACATTGTACCAAAATGAGGCTGTCAAGTCAATATTTTTTCATTGAAATTGAATACACTTTATATCAAGCTAGCAATTTCTATTTCTCGAGTGCAAGCTTGGTTTTAAGCTCAGGAATGAATAAATCGATTCTCATGTCCCTCTCTCCTGTCAAAGTAAAGGAATGGGAAGGACTATAGCGTGGAATTTCAACAATGGGAAAATTGTCATATTGTTTCTGTGAACGTGTTACCAAAATCCCACTTAACTCCAAGTCAGGAGTCACTACTTGCATACTTCAACTACAAGCATTTATAAATATGTTTGTACCATACACAAACCACAAACCATTTTATATACAATAAAAAGTGATACTAATGCGCACTATATAATTTGTGTAAAAATCAAGATTTGAGAGGTACAATTAGAAGTGAAGAAAGGTATAAATGCACTTCAGAATCTTTTGGGTAAAACATGATTGCATATTTTAACGCCTAGGAATTTAATTCAACTTGTTTAATCATTAAGCCTTAATTAAGTAAGCTTGAAGAGTAAACGGTTAGAAATATAATATTTGAAAACCTTGAGGACTGAATTGGACATAATCAAAACATGCAAGCACAATTGTAACAAATTAAAAGTTGAAGGCCGATCTAAAACTAAAGGACTAAATTACTTAATCATAAAAAGTGTCGGATGAAATTAAGATAAAATAACTTT